CCATTGATCCACTTGTATTCAATGACTCACATTACTAAAAAATTAGAACCCTTAGATATAAGTGGGATCAACAGACAAGATTAAGAATGTAACTTACACTGGTATAAAATCATCTTGAGCCTATATATATATATATATATATATATATATATATATATATATATATATATATATATATATATATATATATGGTCATAAAACAAGCGAGATTTGCTTAATTCTAATGTACAGGTATGATAATTAATGTCGAAGCAGCATAAAAAATTGTTAAATAAAAAGTAATTGAGAAATCAATTTGTCATGTTGTAGAATGACATTGTTTCTTCCTGCAACATGATTCGGTTTCATATCCTGACTTTTTTACATGATACAATTTTAGATTTTTTTTTAGAGCAAGAGGCCCGCACTTAATTTGTGTGTGCAGGTAAAAATCTTTTGTTATATAACATGACACAAAGTGAACCCAAAGTAATTATAGATAAAAAAGAAACTATTATTAAACATACTTTTATAGCTAAGTTATAAATTAACTTCAAATTCAAAATCATAAGAATAAGAAAAGTCCATAAAAATAAATACGAATTTTAAAGATAGAAGGGTTTAATATTTCTCATATTGTAAAAAATAAAATTATCTCCTAGATATACATAAAAATATGTGGGGTTCAAAAAAAATTTCTATCTTCTCCTCACAGGGCTGCACACGGGCCCCACATACTTTTATATGTGTAGGAGATAATTGATAATTTTATCTCTTATAACATTATAAACATTAAACCCAAAATAAGAATATATAAAAATAAAAGATAGTTAATTATAATAGACTTAATATCTAATAATTTTAAATTTCAAATACATTCCAAATCTTATACCCCAAATCATGCTAGATTTATTATTTATCAAATTTTGCAGAATAAATAATAAGATTTACTGCTTTATTTGAATTGATATTCAGTTATAATTATTAAGTTCCAAATATTTTAAATTATTGTTTGTTTGAAAAGGTGAATAAAATATTATTTGGGGCATGAATAATAATAAGGGAAAACTTTAAAAATTTCCCTATAGTTTTGCTATAGAATCACTTATCCCCTATACCTTTTTTTAATCACTTGTTCCTTATGATTTTTTTCATCCAAACCTATTTTCAACATCGATAGAATCTTGATTAATCTACCTATTTTATCATTTTTAGAAAAAGAAAATAAACTTATGATAAAAAAGAAAAAGAAAAAATAATATGAAATGTATTTGAAACTTATAACACTAATTTTTTTTTTGTCTTATTATTTATGATATATCTTTTAACAATGGTAGAAAAGACTAAAACTGAAAACTTAAAAATAAAAGACTAAATATGCTTAAATAATTTAAAAAATAGACTGAGGACAAAAGAGAAAAAAAAGAAAATATAACATATTTTTTTTTAAAACTTATAACACCAATTTCTTTTTATTCTATTCATTTTTTGTCTTATTTTTCTTTTATTTCTTTTAATAGTGATAAAAAACTAACAGTGAAAAAAGCAAAACAAAAAACAAAATATATTTAATTTAAAAAAATAAAATAAATTGAGAACAAAAAGAAAAAAAAATAGAAGAAAAATAAGATTTTTTTTTTAAATTTACAACACTAACTTATTTTTTATCCTATTTTTTGTCTAATTTTTCTTTAGATTATTTATGTTTTTTACTTTTACTCTTTTATGTAACGTTGTAAGTAGAGGTGAAACTGGGCCGGCCCGGCCTACAGGGGCCTATGACTCGGCCTACATCAGGTCAGACCTGACCTAGTATATTTTGTAAAATAGGCCGGACTTGGGCCTTGAAAAAATTTGTTTAATAAAAAGGCCGTAGGCTCACTTTCACAAAGTCTGAACTATAAGCCTATAGGCCGGCCTATATTGCACTATTTATTTTAAATAAAATAAAATAAGTATGACCGTAAGAAAAACAAAAGATATAAATTTAATCTGTTATAGAATATTTTCATATTGTAACCACCCACCCAAGGATCCCTTAATAGATAACCACCCAATTATTCTAACAATATAAAACAGTAAGATTGCTAAGGATAGAGTCCCTATCCCAACAGAAAGGAAATTAAATCCTACTACAACTGGGAGATCTACACAAGTCCAAGAGGTAACCCTTATAAATAAGAGGTTAAAGACCCCAAGTACGTACTTTGAATTCATTTACTACTTCTGCCCACACTGTGCACACACCCACGTCTCGGCTATAAGCCTATTGCTTGTGCGCAGTGATGGGGATATTGGCCATAAGCCAACCAAGATACCTATCCATAGGATATCTCTGAGCGCATACCCTTGAGGTATCATTATACGGTTTAATAGAACGGAACATAATCAATTGCAATTATTTATAATTTAATTATGTAGGAGGAACCAACATCTCAACATGTTAGATTGTGTATATGAATATATTAAAAGGTTTTGAGGAGATGTTATACTTACTACAAACATCATGATGTGTTTGTTGGATTCATGTGGTTATTTTAATTTACATAGTATGGATTTGTTTGTTAGATCTGATGAAATATATGTTATTTAGTTTGAGCATTTTACTTTTGAAATTTACTTAAATGCAGATTGTATGAGTTTTGTTGTGATTCATGATTCTGTTTGAAAGTTAAAATTATGATTTTTGGTTTAGCAATATAATTTGAGTATGTTGTAAAGTTGATTTATGGTTTTGCTTAGAAGTTAAAAATTAGCCGGCTAACGGGCTAGGCCAGACCATTTGTTTTTTACAAACGGGCAAAACCATACTAACAGTTAGACTCGTACTAGGCTTGGACTAGGCCAAATTGAAATTTTTTGATGTAGGCTTGGGTTTTTCAGGGCAAAGCTTGGTCCAGCCTAGCCCACTTTCACCCTTAGTTGTAAGTTTTAATATAGGAAAAAATATTTGTCTTTTGAGAAGACAGTCATTTTAGTTAAAATTACTGTGTTTTATTTAATATTAAATTAAAAAAATCTTTTACTTTATTCCATCATGATTTTTATTGTGTGACTATTTCTCTCGTCATAAAACATAATATTTTTGACTAAAATAAAATAATTTTATATCCTTTAAAAAGACAACCAAACACTAACACACCCCCCCTATGGTAAACAACACTAATCCCTTTAATATATTTGGTTTTAAATTTTTTTTTGTCCTAAATCATTCTTTTCGATTTATACATATTTGAACTTTTTTTTTTATTTTGTTCTCTTTTATAAATATTGTAAGTTTTTAATATATATATATATATATATATATATATATATATATATTTTATCATCACTATGTTTTTTTATTTAAAAAGGGTAAAATAAGTCGATTAATTAAGTTTCTAACAATATTAATAATGAGTTTGAATAAAAAAACATAAAGGGGAAAGTGATTTGAAAAAATGTAAAAAGACAAGCGAGTCAAAGCAAAATTATAAAGAAATTTGTGAACTTTTTCCTATTAACAGAAAATTTCTTTAGTGCTACGAATGCACTGAGTTTTCAATATATCTTCTACTCATAATGTGACACGTATTTTATTTTTTATCAAATCATTCTCTTACTTGATTTTAAAATAAATTATTTATTAATAAATTGACAAAAGTAAGACATGAGTCCTATTATGAGTAGAAGATGTACCGTAGCACTAAAAATATTCTTCTACTAATAAATTAAGGATTTGCTTTTTCTGCAGTTACTGCAGATAAATTATCTGCAGTAAGTCCAATACGATATTATTTTGGGACGAAAATCATAGTATTTTTGTAATTTTAATTTATTTCAGGGTTATTATAGTCTTTATAATTATAATTTTTTAATATTTCAATCCAAAAACGACGTCGTTTTGGAAGTAAATGCAGATAACTTTTTTTTTTTTTTTGGTACATGCAGATAACTTATCTGTAACTGGAGAAATACTTTTCTTATAAAGTAATAAGAAAAAATATTTATCATTTTAAATGACATAATTTTATGTCGTTTTTATTTAATGAAACTACGTCATTTTAGTGTATTTTTATATATTCTCTCCTTCGCTTTCTTTTTTTCCTAATTTTATAAAAAAAATGTTAAAAAATTCAAAAAATACACTAAAATGACATAATTTCAATAAAAATGACTCAAAATTATGTTATTTAAAATAAAAATTACTTTTCCCAAAGTTTGATCTCCGGAAATATTATGTAATTGGAGAAAAAAAAGAATAGAAAAATAATAGAGGGTGGCCGACTTAAGAACAACAAGTGCCTACTAAGATATTATTTAGGCTGATGTTGATGACGAAAGTGTATTTATTATGTATAATGATAATAGTAACGGGAAAATGTGTAAATGATGTAAAATTATGTTATTTTAAATGAGAGAAAGAGATAAATTATGAAAAAGAGAGTGGGCAAAAAAATTAAAGGTGAGTGTCCCATTTTTTTGTGAAAAAATAATACAAGTTATCTTATTTAAAATGACATACATTTTTTTCTTAATTCATAGAAAAAAGACATGACTTTATCTCATTTTAGATTATAACTATTAATTTTCGTGTTATAATGTATTGTTAATTAATAATTAATTTTAGATTATAACTATTAATTTTCGTGTTACAATGTATTGTTAATTAATAATTAATTAATAATAATTATGTTAAAAACCTGAGACTGAAACGCGGCAGTGCCAGTTAGGACTAGGTGGAGGAGGCATAAGCATAAATATATTATATATACATATATATATATATATATATATATATATATATATATATATATATAGGGTTAGGATTATTTTACACCAGTGTAAGTTACACTCTTAATATTAACCATTGATCTCACTTATATCTAAGGGCTCTAATTCTTTAGTAATGTGAGCCATTGGATACAAGTGAATCAATGTTCAAGATTAAGTGTAAGACTTCTAACTCTTAGTGTAAGAATATCCTGCCCCATATATATATATATATATATATATATATATATATATATAAAAGCAAAGATGGTTAAATTGTAAACGCAGAGATCACAAGTCCAAATCATTCTCCAAGATCTAACTGCCCAAGGAAAGCAAAGGAGGAGCTGCTGCTCTGCCCCCATTCCATTCAATCAAAAAGGTCTCTATTTCCGTACTTTCATTCCATTTTTTAATTTTTTATTTTTTTATTTTTTAATAATTCAATTTTCATTACCCCTTCTTCGACATTGCTTCTTCTTCTTTGTATGTGTATGTGTGTGCCGTGGGTTACTACTTTCTGGGTAGCCACCCTTTTATTTCATTATTATTTTGCGATTAAGTTTGTGGGTATTTGAGGTTTTATTTTGGGTCCCCGTGATATTATTATTTCGTCGTTTTCATTTTATAATCGTTAATTTGAAAACTTTCCTGTTCTTATTGATTAAGTGGCTGGCAGCAGTAATTGAAATTACCCAAATTGATGTATTATTTCTCTCAAGCTTTCCTAGTTTCTCGCTAACTCCTTGTCGGTTGGCTTTAGAATCTAAACGGGGTTATTTTGAAAAACAAAATAAAAAAAATTACCTTGTTTTAGGGTTAGGTTATTGCTATCCCTTATACTGTTTCAAGATGGATTAATATTATTTAATTATAATTGAATCTCTAGTATCTTCCGTTTCTAGGTCATAACATTTGATTTGTATTTTCTTATTAGTTACAATTGAAGCATGTTTAATCGTCTTTAACCTCACTCCCTTTATGAACCAGATATCAATAGCATAGTGTTTAAACATGTCTCAACCCCTGGGGGATGAAATGGAGGACGTAGCAGACGATAATGAAATGGCAGAAGTAGAAGATGATATGTATTTCCGTGGCAGAGTGTTTGGTGATTCAGAATCAGAAGAAGATGACGATGAATATGACTCTTTGGTTTGTTTCCAGTCATAATCAAAACCTTTTTATATCATTTGATGTTTCATTTGTTGTGGGGTGTTTGTCTTACCCTTTGCAAAATTATTTTTCACTGCTATTTGCTAAGTTATAATCACATTTTTATTTTTCATGCCTTCTGTTGTCATTAACATAATCTTTCCTGGGGGCGTGGTCTTCGGATTCTCCGTTGCAGGAAAACCGGATAACAGATACTACTTCTGCAGAAGCTAGAAAAGGCAAGGATATCCAAGGTATACCTTGGGATAGACTAAGCATTAGTCGTGAGAAGTATAGACAAACTAGACTAGAGCAGTACAAGAATTATGAAAACATACCGCAATCAGGGGAACTGTCCTTGAAGGTGAAATATGTTTTACTTTGAGTTCTGTATCATTTGAGTAATGTTTTTGGGGCTATCTTTTGATCTTCTACTTTATTTCTTTGCTACAGGAATGTAATCCAACAGATAAAGGAGGAATGTATTATGATTTCTGGCAAAACACTAGATCTGTGAAATCAACAATACTTCATTTTCAAGTACGTTGATATAGTAGTTTACTAGTTTTTTTAATCATCTCAGACGTGATAAGATTTTTTTTGGCCTCACACTGTGTTATATTGTCTCTTGCGGAAACTCATTTACCTGCATATACATCTTATGGAATTAAGTTATCTTATTATTTCCTTTTGGAAATTCAGAGCGTGCAGTTGCCAATAAATTAAGTAACATAATTGTGAATCCTCTAATCTGTCATTTGCAGTTGAGGAACTTGGTTTGGTCAACATCAAAGCATGATGTATATCTTGTTTCGCATTACTCAATTATACACTGGTCGTCTTTAAATTCCAAGAGATCAGAAATCTTGAATGTATCAGGCCATGTAGCTCCATGTGAGGTAATCATTTTTGCGCTGCCTTTTTGTCAAAAGGATCATTTAGGGAAGGCATCTAAGCTTTTAAATACCTGTTGGTAATAGAAACATCCTGGAAGCCTTTTGGAAGGATTTACTCAGACACAGATTAGTACACTTGCCGTACGGGATAAGTTGTTGATTGCTGGGGGTTTTCAAGGAGAACTTATTTGCAAGGTACTTCTGTTGTACTTATCATTCTTATTTTCTTTAATGATTATTATTTTTTAATTATAATTATTTACTAGATGTACTAATGCTGCCCGTTCACCATCACATATGGTCACTGAGATTATCATGCTCAATATTTTATTTTTTGCTTTACCTGCCTGAATTAGTTTATGAATTTTATACTCATTTATATTTTAGATGTTTACCTTGTTTTTGAGATGGTGTAGAGATGATTTTGTCTTTGCATGAATATGATTAATTGAAAAAATACTGATTAGTCAAACTAAAATAATCTGAAGTCATTTTTAATTATCTTACTTTAACTTGGTTTTCCAAATTGAGATAATTTTTAACATCGTCATGTTTTGTCTGATTACACCTACATCTTGTCCTGCAGTACTTAGATCGACCTGGGGTTAGCTTTTGTTCCAGAACTACTTATGATGACAATGCAATCACAAATGCTGTTGAGATTTATGAACATCCAAGGTCTCTTTCTCGGCTTTCTTATTTTTCTTTTATTTTCTCTATTAAGTTAGGGTCTTTAATTATTGATATGGTGTGAGCTATTATTGTTCACAACCCTCAAAGTATGATCGCATACTATTACTAACAATTAATTAATAATAATATAATAGTGGGGCTGTTCATTTCATGGCTTCAAACAATGACTGCGGAGTTAGAGACTTTGACATGGAGAGATTTCAGCTTTCCAAGCATTTCTCCTTCTCCTGGCCAGTAAATGTAAGTTGTTTTTTTTGTGACAATTTCCAATTTTGTAAGAATCCTACTATTATATGATTTTTATTATTGAAAATAGTGTATTACACCTGTCAATCTGCCTTTATCAATTTATTAATGGTGGGAAGACACCAATCACCAAATTGAAGTTTTTGCATTGTGTGTTAGTATAGATGAGGTAAGGAAAAAAAGGAAAGTTTAACTTCTTAACCTTGGCCAATTTTCGCACTACATTTAAGAAGCATCAAACAAAATAGTAGAATAATGGGTAAGTTGAGTTATTGTTAAAAGTTTAAAAAGGAGAGAGATTTGAGAGTAAGTGTGTCTGAATATTAATTTTTGATTTTCTTTTTCGCATGCTTATTGCCATCTCTGCTGCCAGTGTTGGAAAATATGATATCAATGTCTTACAATAAATAGAATAAATGGTGATTTAAATTTGTTCCATTTCTTTCTGCAGCATACTTCGTTGAGTCCTGATGGTAAACTACTTGTAATTGTTGGAGACAACCCAGCAGGGATACTAGCGGATTCTCAAACTGGAAAGGTTGGTGTATTCTGTTTGTCTGTGTGACAAGTTCCTTATGGAAAACTACGAATATCTAATTTTAATTTTGGTTCTTTGTAGACTGTCATGCCATTATGTGGACATTTGGATTATTCATTTGCATCTGCATGGCATCCTGATGGGCGCATTTTTGCCACCGGGAACCAAGACAAAACATGCCGTGTTTGGGATGTCAGGAACTTGTCGAAGACTGTTGCTGTGCTTAAGGGCAACCTTGGAGCTATACGATCAATACGTTTCTCATCTGATGGGCAGTTCATGGCAATGGCTGAGCCAGCTGACTTTGTGCATGTCTATGATGCAAAGAATGGGTTTGAGAAAGAGCAGGAAATTGATTTTTTTGGGGAGATCTCTGGTGTATCTTTTAGCCCGGACACAGAATCACTCTTCATTGGTGTTTGGGATCGCACTTATGGAAGCCTTCTTCAGTACAATCGACGCAGAAGCTACATGTATCTTGACTGCTTGTAAATTTGTAACCACATACCTTCCTTGTATTTTTAAGTTCCTACAGTTTATGTTCTTTTGACTAGGAATTTGAGAATTGTGGCACACCATCTGACCAATACAAGAAAAATGACCCGTGGCTTGCCTCATCATACAATGTAGGACAACTTGGCCTGAGAACGTTACAATTTGTACTCCGATGTGTTAAATAACATTGACTGCCAATCTCTTGAACCCATTTTTTATTCTTATGCTAATGATGAAAGAATGTTTGTACGGCGGCGTATTATACATGTTTTCCTTCATTTGGTGACATTTGTGGTACACATTTCCGTGGGAGGAGCTTATATCTTGAGTTGGTGTCAAGTACAAGACTTCGAGGGTATTCTCCTTAAAATGTTCCATAGCTCCCTAGTTAGTGCTTAAATTTAGTTTAGACTGAGGGTGAATTGGGAATGGGGTTTAGGGCGCCGATGAAATTATGCTTGTGTTGTCGTGTGACCATTCAAAATTAAGTATGTAGCCAAAGCTTGCAGTTGCAGGAACGGAAGGAAAACTATCTAGCTGTTGGGTTGGGTAGGGTTACGTGGGTCGACTCCTAATTTCAAGTCATCAATTAAAAAGGGATTTTAGTATCCACACGTTAATATCTTTATTTATTATTATGATTTTATGATTTTTTTCATCAAAATATTTTTATTAATATAATACGTACAATTTTATTCCCCTTTCATTCTTACGTAAAATTTCATTTTTAACTACTTGATCCACACTGCACTCTCCCCTCTGATTTCGTAAAAGTATAATCAATTTCCTCTTTTTTTTCAAACTCAAAATATAATACAAACCTTAATTGTGTTATCTATTAATCAAGGATTACTTTTTTAGTTGCTCGTTTCTCATTAATGTTATCTCTTTCTTATTTATTTTACACTTTACCCCTTTAATTCTTAATTCTTCTCTATTTTATTTTATTAATTGTTTTTTCTCTCGACCCTTATTATTTTACGCATAAAAAATATAGAGATATTGTTAACTTTTTTGAGAAAGACTTAAAACAACTGCAAACATTTTCTTCATAGAAAAAATAAAGAATAAATTATAGATACATTGTGTTGGTGAAGCGCATATTGCTTTTAGGAATTCATCTTCACATTATAGATATATTAACGATGGTTTCACCCCAATCAGATACATGGAAAATAAAAGAGATTAACTACAGAACCTAGTAGTTCCTATGCCCATCAAAAAGTGGTAAACATCCTTTTGAGAGCTTACGCTTGTAGCTAGCCAGGCGCAAGTGTTACATTCTCTGAACGTATGAGACACCTTCACTTGCCATTATTCCTTGCGAAGGAGGAGTTGAATATGACCAAGGTAGCAGATGGGTGGTGTAACTCACATCACATCCCCAAAGGATAACATTCACAGCTACCTCTTAATCGCTTTCGAGCCAAGCATTACTTAAAAACGGTTTTTGTGTTGGAGACTGGCTTTCCTTTGAGCCTGCTTGGTAGCATTAAGCTTGTCTAATTATGGATTCTACTCTCATACTGCCTCCCTCAAACACAAGTTAGTTTTGGTCCTTCCATAAAAGCCAGCAAGTAATTCCAAATAGGCAGCTCCAATCACTATGCCTGCCATCTTTTATACTCTTTTTGAGGTTAATTATCACCCATTCGGACAAAGAACCCGTGACAAAGCCGTTCCAATCCACAACAAATTAGTCAACATCGACATGATTTTCTTGGTATATAGTAAATTTAGTATTTGCATATCATGATGTTATATGGGCATATATTCAGTATTAAGGGAGAAAATACTCCTTTTATTAAAAGTAGAAAAAAGTGTTAGTCAGGTTACATTAACCATTAATGGATGAGTAGAATAATATTACTTTTTTCCAACAATTACAAGTGATGCCCTGAGTCTTCAGTTACTAAAGATATTCTCCAGTAAAAAAAGGTCGGACTCACGGAAGAAAATGGAGGAGAATGATCCCAGTAAGGACAGTCTTTGGATTGCATCCACCATGCTGCATGTGGAGTTGCACTTAAGCTTAGTCCGGAATAAACCTTGATGTGAATAAATCAATGAAAGAAATCCATCTATAATTCCTCACTCGGTACAAATTTTTTCTTTTAATATGGTTTATGTACACTAATAGTTTATGCAAATATCATTTTCATTAGACTTGTTGCACGAATACTAATGCTGCAGAAATGTTGTCGTCTTCCAACCTCACTGACCAATAAACTGCCTACTTGAATTGACACATGCCAAAAGATTCTCAATCCTGTGACTTGGGATGATCCTTGTATTATGGCAGTTTCTCCAAATTGTCTCTAAATTGCATGATTCAAGTTGTGTACAAAAAAGAGACTTTAAATAGCATTGAGCATGTTGTTTGGAAAATATCATAAGGAATATTGGTCATGGTCATGGCCGTGGAATCCCACCCTTCCAGAAGTCAGAGGCTCAACTGTTAAGACAAAGAACACGGGGTTCGGGGTAATATGATGCCAACAAAATTCATTCACACTACAATCTAACAAAATACATAGATGAAAATTAATTTTAGAAACAACTCAAAAATATTCCATGAAAAAATACAATCTAACAAAGGAGAGAATATGATTTTAAAAAAAGTACACGTGTATAGGGGTTTTATGAGTCGAATACGATGTAGGTTCAACAGCCTCTAGACAAGATAATAACCAAAGATGCTGCTTCATCTTCTTTAATAAGAACTTGAACTTTAAGCAGATAAAAATAGACAAGGGAATTACATCCAAAAAATATCTGATTCCATAATCGGGTAGTTCATAGGTTATAAAGTAAGAAGACAGCTTGGCGAGAATAAGTTGGACACCTATTAAAACAGTCGTGTAGACTCCAATAAAAACCATTTCCCATTAAACCCGACTAGCGAGTGTGGGGTGGAGGAAATCCTTGTACGCAGCCTTACTCTTGCATAATTGCAAAGAGGCTGTTTCCTGGATTCGAACCCATGACCTTTCAGTCATGAAGGAACATTTTTACCACTGCTCCAGTTATGAATAAATTCGTAACCCATTTAAAAGTGCAGATCAAGTCAGATGCAATCAACCCCTACCTAAATCAACTCTTCAGTGAGTATTTGACGGATAATATTGATTAGAATATACATAGAAATTAATGCCAAGTCAAGCTTACCTTCATCTTCCTCATCGCCATTTTGACTAGTAAAGAATGGGGTGAGGTAGTTTTTATCTAATGCTGTAAAAGTTGCCGCACTGAAACATAAAAGCAAGAAAAATTAGAAGTAGCAACATCATCAAGAAATAGATTTTAACATATTTGAAGTTTCAGAACTCAGACGACACCTCTTCTGGAATTCTTTCAGCTTCATCTTGATTTTGCTCCCTGACGATGATTCTTCATCGGAAGAAGGAGAAATATAACCATTGTTTCCCTCAAATTTCTTGTGTAAGAAACCAAAAATATTAGTTGAAAGAGAAAATAGGAAGAAACATATAAAGTAGATTCATTAGGATAAACATTTATTTTGTCAGGATAATATGCACCGTTAAAATTCATACGTAAAATTTTGGAAGTTAACATACAATTCCACAATAACTATTCATCAATGAATATATATTTCTTTGAATTCAAAATCACATTAAAAGCTTTACATATGTCCTATCTAACATTTAATACTTGGTTGGGCATGCAGAACATCCGTTTCTCTAATGGAATGGTTGATAACTTAATTTTAGATGCAATTCAAAAATATAATCACAAGTCAAATTGCATGCTTCTGCTTCTTTATAGCCAGTTAGTCAAACACAAACACACACAAAATCTTTTCCCGCAAAAGGATACAGTATTTCAATACAAAGTAGTCCCGCATGCACCTTAGTCAAGCGGAAATTACGTGGAAACAACACTGAAGGCATGCTTCCACTAGTTAAGAAAGTGAAAGAGGCTCATCTAGCAAAACATACCGTTATGGTAGTAACAGAAGCCAAAGGGCTATCATTAATATGACTGTCACCACCTACAACTTCCAAAGCTTCCAGCATGGTGCCTGTTGAACCACCAATCAGCAATACCTGAAAACAAAGTAAATAAGTTTTAGTGTCAGGTAAACTACCCAGATATGGTGATTACTGATTATGAAAAAGTGGGGAAAAGAATTGTGGTTGCTGCTAGTAACTAAAAATAAATAGGAGGACAAAACTTAGGTGCAGTTATTTAGATGTTTGCTATCAGGTTGCCCAATTAACAATAACGCTTGTACATTCTTTGATAGCTCATCACCTAACATATCATTCTCCATGTTAAATACCCAAATCTCTCAGTCTGTATCACTCCATTCCTGAATGGCATACTGATCTTTTCATACAAGTAGCTCGCTATTGTTTACCTAAAATTGAACACAGATCTTGAACTTTTTTGGTCAAGATTCTCCTAAGGAGGTTGAGAGGATACTAATTTCACTTTTTCTTCTATTTAAATTTAAGTTAGCATTTCTACCGTCTCCTCCTGATGTTTTATCTCTGCAGTTTAGCTTTCATTTCTTGAATATAATCCTTAAGTTTCTGAACTCTGTACTCTCACTCAGTTGATTTCTTTCTCTACCTCCTTTGCCCTTCTTGAATCCAAAAATGAGGCTAATACTCCAACTGCTGAGATGAACTTTAGTTGACTTTTCATATGAGTATCATCTATCAGCCAATCAAATCATATATTGAAAGGAGAGCCCCATATCAGATGGTAACAATCAGAAAATTTGATGCAATTTGTAAAGAATCAATTCAACCCAAAAGCTTAAGCTGTTGGGTGAGGTTACATTAATGATTTTATATATCTCAACACGCCTCCTCACACGAGAGCCCACTGGGCTTGAAGGATGGACAATGCACAGGCCCACATACCTGTGCGAACAAAGAAATTCCACTTGAAAGAAAGTGGGGGGCGGCGAGGATCGAACCCGGGACACGAGGCTTTGATACCATGTAAAGAACCAATTCAACCCAAAAGCTTAAGCTGTTGGGTGAGGTTACATAAATGATTTTATATATCTCAACACAGTTATGTTAGCTTCCACACTAACTAAGACAAAGCCGCATTTGAACAATAGAAAGCCAAAAAGCTAGGAATGAATCTTGCACTGAATAATTTTATTTGGAATAACTTTTTATTGTCTCTAGCATGGCATCAAACAAACTCTCTAATCTATGAATTCTATGGGACTGGGGGGATGTAAACTATACAGAATTTTAAATGGAGAAATTTCTGTTAGGTAATGCTTTTCATAATTTTTTTCCAAGAGCCCTTTCTTAATTGTAGAACCCAATAGCAAACACAAGAACAGCATCTAAGTTTCCTCCTAACTAGGAATCATGGATAGGGAAAACACAGAATATAGTATAAAAATAACATTCAAATTTTACCCAATGTCATACACTACCTCCATATTTATTTATTTTTCATGTGATGATTAGCTTAAATTAGATGACTACAATGAGCATGCTTACTGTCAAAACAACTATTGCTGTAGTTGCAGTGAGGATTGTCTGACCATGTCCTTCTGGAAGTTCGTGAACCGATTGCAGAGCAAGAGCAAAGGCCATTGCCCCTCGAAGTCCTGTTCATGTTCACAAAGTACAAAACTTAAGTGAAATGCCGAACTGGCAAAACATTAAAAAATAAGCCAAAAACAAGAAGCGATTTGTTTTATTGACATAATCAAACAAAATTTTCACAGTATAGTCAATGATTTGCATGTTTCTTAATTCCTTACCACTATACCAAAGTGCTTTCTGATGTTTTGGAGGTATCTGACAATGCGCAGGTCTGACCAAGTTGACCAGATAAGCACAAGAGAAGACATTGGCTGCCCTGCATGAAGCGATCAAACAATATAGTTTACAAAGAGAAATATGAAAGTGAAGCATAAAAGTGCCATAAGTGTGTGCATATCTTTATATTGTTACCAAACTAGATAAAAAGCCTGAAATGAACATATGTCACTGTGATCGAAGGCTCATGATGATAGCAATTACAGCACAAATACCTTGCAATTCCAATGAATATCTGAAGTGGTTACCAAGCAAGTTGAGAAAGAGGATCAATAAGAATATGAAATGCTCTTATTCAAATCAAAAATTTCAAATTTATCGGTCAAAAATAAAGGGTCAAGGAAAGGATACAATGGAGAAGAATATAAATCCAACATGTGACCAGCTATGTTGCTCCATAGCAATATCAAAGCCCATGTAGATAAATCTGTAGATAATAAGATAAAATGGTTCCCATGCATCATTTAGAGAAAATGTTGAACAGTAAGAAGGAAATTTACAACAAATTGAATACTCCTTACACAAATGTTTCTGCTAGCGATGATATCAACTCAAAAAAAGCTGAGACAAATCTTTGAGAACTTTGTGACAAATTTGAATATGTATAATGCTTCATGACCTAAAACATAGCACAAAATATTCATAACAATGCTTTAACACAGATAAAATAACAAAGGAAAACTATAATATGCAATTACCATTCCCGTGAATAATATTGATACAATACCAGACAGGCCAAGACCTTCGGCAAGCATGTACCTACAAAGAAAATAGTTTTAGCTGGTTTCACCATGTATAATGGAACTTACAAAACTTCTCCAAAAAAGTTTGGAAGAAATGGCCGAGGGATATTTCTTACGAGAAATATGGAAAAAGAACAAAAAGGCAGCTCTCCAAGTTCTGAAGACTACAAAGAAAATTTTTCCAATCAGTATTGTTCAAATATGATATGAATCATCACATATTGAGCCAAAATAATAAAATAATAAATACTTACTTGTCAATATCCAATCCGGCATACTTAAAGAGGTTCTGATAGTTAAGGTTTCACACTATTTTTTAGTTTTAAATCTCTAAAGAGTTGTGTTATATATATATATATATATAACAACCATGGGTTTAAAAGGATATTAAAGCAGATATAAATCCAACTCCAACACCTGCAGAGCCACCAAAAACAATGGGAATTTAGCAATACTGCAAATATAACAATTCTTTCTGCTAATATATATATATATATATATATATATAAATATATATATATATATAATTAAACAATTCACAATTAAATTCTCTCTCTCTCATCTCTTCTGCCTGAAGAGTGATTATATCAACAAGGTAGAAGCAAGACCGAGCCTAAAAGACTGTAGAGAGAAGTTCAGCTGATGCCAAATTTCTATCCAAAATATCTTAAGGCCCATAATACCAGGTAATTCAACTAGCCAAACAATGCATAAATAAAACATTAGGTGAAATTCGTAAAACCAACCAGCAGACATTGACCCAACAAAAGTCTCCAAAAATCTAACAATCACCATGAAGAAATTTTGTCCGGATGGATGACTTCTAACCAATGACATTGTCCTGCAAAGTAAGCACTAAGTTAGAGTGAACTTTAATGATACTTGGGTTACTTTGGATAAACATATCAATCTTTAGAAGTTCAGTTACCTGTACAAAGAAATAGCCATCTGCCAATAGCATACGGGGGGAAAGAAAGGACAAACAGAAAAGAGGAAAAAGGAAAATATCAGCTAGTAGCAACATCCGTATTTAAATCACGGGGGAAAAAGGAGAGCTTTGTAGCAATAGAAACTTACTGCATCATTCAAAACAGATTCTCCAAAAACCAAGGCATATAGATTGACATCTGTGCCAAGCTCCTGCGATAAGGCGGACAAAAATAAGCATGACATCAGTTGGTACATATGAAATACCGAAAATATTTTCGTGCGGACCACCTCTTCCTCTCTTTGAAATTAATTAAATATCATATCATATAAATGATTAAAGACTTAAAGGGAACATTAGGAAAGGGAACATCTCTACAAAGAGGGTACCAAGGGTACTTATTCACACCCAGACACCGCGGCTCTTGTATTGGGCATACATATTGGGTTCATGATCAATATGGATCACAATCTTAGAAGTTAGAAGACTAAGAACATGTATACGCACTATCAAAAAGCATGTGTAATATAAAAAGAAGAAAGACAAAATTAAAGAAGAATGCAAATCAAATCACCTGAAATATGGACAAAACAGTAACAGGATCAGTTGCTGATATAAGAGCACCAAACATCAGACACTCAACCAAAGGTAGCCTGTAGACGAGGTAGATCAATCCACCAAGATAACTGGAGAAAAACATCAGCGTGGAATTCATAAATCCTCATCACCAGTAGTCATAACGTAGCAGTAGCAAATAATATCGAAAAACAAAAACAAATGAAAAAGAAAAACTTACACCAAGACACCGGTTACAATGGAAGCTAGAAAGGTGCCGAGTATAGCAAATGTGACAATTGCTCCAAAATTAGAGAAGAAAGGCTTCTGTACGTGAAGACAAGAAAGACGAAATGAAAAAAGCTGGAATGAAATGAAAGAATAATGGAAAATTCCAAAGTAAAATTAAAAAAAAAAAAAAAAAACTTACAGGTGAGAGACTGAAGCCAGACTGAGTAAAGTGAAAGGTCAAGGAGAGACAGACAGACAAACATAGTTATAGAAATGAATTAAGAAAGTTAAAAAGAAAAGAAGAGAGTGAGTGAGTGAGTAGTTGAGTTGATCAGGATATAATATGATAGGAGGTAAGAGGAAGAGGAAGAAAAACTCCTCGTGAAAATTGAACCACGCCCTGGAACAGGAACAGTAATGAAAATGAAAATAGAAATGGAAGTGAGAGGGTTTTATAGAAATGAATGAATGAAAGAGAAAGATACACCAATAGTACCTGATACTAGTTTGAGTGTTGGAAATGTTAGCGAGTGCACCAACGAGTAAGCCAATGAGAAGAGAAGCGCTTGCTTCGGGAATGACGTAAATCCTCTTGCGACGAAGAAGATGACCCAATACGAATGACAAAACCAACATCATGATCTGAAGAAGAATTCCCACTCCCGCAGCCTGCTGCTCTTTTCCCACACTATCAACATCGTCCTGATCCTTCATCTTCTTCTCCAACTCTCTTTTCTTTGTTCCTCACTTCTCAGGAAAGAGAGGATCTGTTAATTAACATTTTATATGTATATAATATATATTGGCTTCTGGAATATGATATGGGCCCATTTCAGTTTCATAACTGACTGACGCGGATAGATGCATATCGCAGCGACAAAAAGTACCTTTTCACTATCTTAATCCTATATTTTAATTTAATTCATGTCGAGTTTATTCATAAACCAATAAATACACCCTTATTTTAAAATATTATTATTATTATTATTATTATGGTTGACAACCTACCATCGCGCCCAATTTATAAATCATCAAGTCCCATGGACTGGGCTCTACCTGAAGCTACCAAGGACAAGGATGGGCCTTTCGGAAAGCTCTCTTTCATGCATAATGAAGGGGTAATCTAACCCAATGTTTTTCGTTTAGAACTGCTCTTACTCTTTTTTATTTTGTTCTTGTTTCCTTCTCTTTTATTCTTTATGTTTTTCTGTTTTTTGTTCTAGGTAACCTATTGGAAACTGATTTTGAAAATAAAAGATCGACAGAATTGCATCTGTCTTCCTGTGGCTCGTAGAGAACTCTTTGTATCACATACAAATATTTTGCACAAATCAACTTACAATCCAATGGTTATGTACTTATGTATCTTAATTTATATCTTTTTGCCTTATTATTCCATATTATTTGGTTGGATAATAATATATTACACATCTTACATGTAAATATCCACACACATTTTTTTTATTCCGAACCTAATTACTTTTTTGAGGCTTGCCGACCTCTCAGTTATTTTCATAAACTTTAATTCTTTGAACTAGTGATGAAACTATCCCAAGTCAGAGTTTAGTCACAGTTACACTCTTCATCCTTTTTCAAAGATGTATTTGGTGGAATCAAACTCAAATTATCTCTCTGCTCAAATTATATTGCCAACTGAGCTATACTAATACTAACATTAAATTTACCATATAAATTTCTGCATAAAAAATGCATATATACAATTTAATCGTTTTACATATTTATTTATGGGATATGAAAAATATCCTGTTATAGAAGAAAAATCATCTCCTATTGTCACATTAATTTATTTATTTTTTGTTTTTCAAAATTTTATTTATTTGTAATGGTGATGGATCCTACCATATAAATATCTCTATGGCAGGAGACATATGTCACCTGTAACATAAGAGAATATTTGCTCTTTATTTATTTATTTATTTATTTTTTGAGAAATAATTTAAATTTTCTCCAATTACCTTATTCTTAGATGTTTTGCACATTTATTTAACTTGTAATAGTATAACATTATTTTACCCTTATATATATTTTTTGGGAGATTATTGACTCGATAATTCCATAAATTTTCTATACTAATTTGGAGTTCGAAATAGGTTCAGAACTAAAATTTTAAATGTCTGTTAAAAATAATATTTGAGAAAATTGAATACATAATTTCACTTCCGCTGTATATTTTGGAATATATGCGCCAACTGTACCCTTCTGTAGTTTGGAATATAGAGAGAGGGTCCAAACTAAACAATGCAGTTGGTAGAATATTGGACTGTAGTAATATACTAATATGTAGGTCCAAAAAACATTAAGAATGTTCATTACGGTGCGCCTCTATACTTGGTCCCCCGTTCCTACCACCCTTTTGTTACTTTTTGATGCACGTATCTTTCACTAGCAAAACACGCGTGAGGCGTGAGGCGTGACGCTTACGCAGATTGATTCGTCCGCAGAAAAAAAGGAAAATAATAATAATATTATTATTATTATTATATTTAAAAAATGGGGAGAGTGTGACTATGATATACTCCAAGCCAGGATAAAAGTATTTTATTTCATTCTTCTAAATTCTGATTATCTTATAATAAAATGCTTCTAATTTAAAATAAATTATCAAAAGCACAATGCTGAAGACATGGAGACTGGACCACAAATTTTAGTCCCCCAAATAATCAAATACACCACGTTTTTTTTTTTTTATTTTCTAAAGCATAATATGATATTTTTATTCCGTATTTTCCAAAATATAATAAGATTAAGATTTCGAGAAAATATATATATATATATAAGGACGTGATCAACTTATACCGATATAAAAATAATAAATCTTATATCCAATCTTGGTCATTGATTTCCATGAGACGAACGGTGATAGTTTATTAAGTTATACTCATTAAATAAATATTAATTTTTAGTAAATTAACATGGTCAAATATACGAAAATTAACGGTTAAGAATCAGTGTAAAATTAACGGTTATACTTATTACTTTTTTTTCTTACTACCTCTTACTACAAAATCTTAACTTTTGATTTCTATTAATCTAACGGTTATAATTTAATGAAAATTAATAATTATTTAATAAGAGTGTCCCAATAAATTATAACCGTTAGATTGACGGAAATCAACGGTTAAGATTTGGTATTAAGAAAAAAAGATAGTAAGTATAACCACCCTATATATATATATATATATATATATATATATATATATATATATTTATATATATATGGGGTAAACATTTCTACAGCCACTTAAGATAAGGTTATCTACAGTTATCCTTTTTTAACTAAGTCTGACCGGTCATACATAAAAATTACATTTTCTCTCTCCGCCACGTCAGATGACAATGTCTAAGGAGAGAGAGAAAAAGAACAGCTTTATTGTTATAATTTATAACTATGTATGACCGGTCAGACTTAATTAAAAAGGGATAGTTGTAGATAATCTTATTTAAAGTGGCTATGTAAATACTTTTTAATATATATATATATATATATATATATATATATATATATATATATATATATGGGAAAAATATTTACAACTACCCCTTTTTAACTAAGTACGACCAGTCGTACATTAAAAGTGCATTTTCTCTCTCTGCCACGTCAGCCGACAATGTCTGAGGAGAGAGAAAAAAATAGCAGTTTTATTGTTATAATTAAGTACGACCGGTCGTACTTAGTTATAAAAGGGTAACTGTAGATAACCTTATCTAAAGTTAAAGTAGCTGTAGAAATACTTTTCCATATATATATATATATATATATATATATATATATATATATATATATATATATATGATATGTTATTCTACCTATCATTTTTTCTCCTTATCTTTGCCTACCACCTTCCAACATCATTAGATCAGAATCTTAACTAACATTTATCTTTCGCTCTCTTCTTGAGATTCTGATCTAACGATGTTGGAAGGTGGTAAGCAAAGGTAGGCAGAAGAAATGATAGGTAGAATAACTTATCCCTATATATATTATATAGGGAGAGTTCTTTTGACTCTAGACTAAGACTTGTAAGTTTTACTCCTTAATTTTAGCCGTTGATGGACGAAGATCAATGATTGTCATTTATAGTATAATTAATAATTAATTAATTGATATGTCTTTCTAAACTATAACCGTTGGATTGATAGCAATCAACGGCTGAGATAGGGGTAAGACTTAGAAGTCTTACTCTGGAGTCAAAATATCCTTATCCTATATATGTGTGTCTATATATATAGGGCTTATCGTTTCTCAAACTGTTTGAGATAATTTTATCTCCGACCACTAAATCATAATCATACAAAGATGGATCATTGGTGATAAAAGAAGAGATAGAGAAATAGAATCATAACCATTCAAAAGTGAATAAATTAATATAAGGAAATAAATAAATAAATAAAACGACGTAGTTTTGGGGTGGTCGGAGATAAACTTATCTCAAGTTGCCAGAGAAATATTTTTTCTATATATATATATATACACACACACACACATGAGATAAATATTTCTCAAGCAGTTTGAAATATATTTATCTCTGTCTATCCAAAAATTATGTCATTTTGTTTATTTATTTTCTTATATTAATTGTTTTACCTTTGAATGGTTATGATTCCCTTTTTTTTTTCTCTTTTCCTTTATCACAATTGATCCATTTTTATACGGTTACGATTTAGCAGCCAGAGATAAAGTTATCTCAAACAACTTGAGAAACGATAAGTCCTATATAGGGTAAACATTTTTACAGTCATTTTAGATAAGATTATCTATATCTACCCTTTATAACTATATACTCCTGAAATTACATGACATAGTTGTAACATTAAAATTATTTTTTTTTCTCTCCTCAGTCACTTTTCATAACATGTCTACTGACGTGGAGAGAGAAAAAAAATAACTTTAATATTATAACTATGTACTCATGGGATTACATAGTTATAAAAATAGTGTTGTAGTATGTAGATAACTTTATCTAAAGTGGTTGTAAATATATATATATATATATATATATATAAATATATATGTGTGTACACACACACACATATATATACATATTTGTATATGTATGTATATGTACATATATGTATTTGTACATACATATATATGTACACACATATATGTATGTATGTACATATATGTATCTATATATATATGTGTGGGTTTTATATTTCTGCAGCTGTTGTACGTGCAACGATCAATATATATATATATATATATATATATATATATATAGGCTTTACATTTCTGCAGCTGTTTTACGTGCAACAATCAAATACTTGCTATATATATATATACATGAAAGTATTAAATGTGGGAAATCATAACTATACAAAAGATAAAAGCATTAAATGTGCGGAATAATAACCATACATCTGTCATTGTTGTACGTAAAGCGGCTGTAGAAATGATTTTACCTATATATATATATATATGTATACACACACACACATATATATATATATAGGTGGTAAATGAACCATGGGCCTTTGACTCTGCTCGTGAAGACCCGAGCTTAGATTTGTATAAAAACTCATTTAATAAAAAGTTCTCATGCTCCGGTTCAAAAGCCCGGCCGTAGAGCCTCTCAGGCTGGCCTAATATACTAACTTTTATATTAATTTTATATTTTTTATACTATTCATAATAGCCATTTCTATCCCTCCTCAACCCATTTCACCTCATTTTATTGGTTAAACAGATTTTTTGAATGATTTTTTTCTATATTATGT